AACTAGCCTCCATGGCTAATTCTGGCATTTTCTGTAATATGCACTGTCCCTTCTTAAATAAATAAACAACAAACAAACAAACAAACAATGCTGAGCTACTCTGTTGAAATCTGCTTAAAAAGCTAACTTGAGTTTATAAAAATGTAAGTAAAAACTAAAAGAAGAAGATCACTCACTAGCTAAAGGCAACAAAATGCTAGTTAATAGCTAAAAGCAGCTAAAGCTAAAATTTGCAGTGAGGAAGACAAAAAGAACAAACTTGCTACAGCACATTTCAAAGTGAACAGGTTCTTTTAGTAACTGAAGAGATCTCAATATATTTCTAATGGGAAATTAATTATAAATAAAAGCAAATAATTCGTAATGTTTAAATGTTTCAATCAACAAAAGTTGTATTTTGTCCCACTACTTCTAAAAACAATCACGCACAGAAACCATCGAGTCAACAGCTCACCTCAGCGAGCGCCTCCGCCTCCAGAGCTTTGTGGTCCYCTAAACTCGCGTGTCGAGTTGCGCTCGGCGATGAGCGCTGCGAATGGCTGTCGACGAACGCCTTCCTGTCCGGGTGGCCGATGCAGCCGGCGCTGCCGAACGTGGTGAGGTGCCTCTTCTCCGGGCTGTCCGTCTGGCCCCGGCTGAAAGCTATCTTGTGCGGGCTGCAGGGCCGAGGCATAACCCTGGGGGGCTGGTTGGCGGCTCTGGTGGGGCTGAGGCTGTCGGCGCCGTTCCTGTGGCGCGGGGCCGCGCCTCCATCCGATCGCACTCTCATCCTGACAGAGGATGAGAGATGAATATTTTAACAGTTTGTCATTTGGATAAACGCTTTTGCTTTTTACATAAATGCTGTCTGCTGTGGAGTTTGGGAAATYTCCACCTTCCCAAGGCTGCTCCGAAGCGATTCTCAGGCGTGTGTTCACAAGGAGAGTGACGCTCGCTTCTCGATGAGTTCCTGTCATTGCGATGCAGTCCACTGGTAGCCTCACTGTCAGTCCTCTGAAYGTTGTCTGAGAATGCATCGTCCCTGTTGGAGATATTCTATTATTAGCTTCTGTCCAAAGAATTCTGCAGGGCCTTGTCATTTTCAGAGACTTATATTCTTTTCTTTTTAAAATTTAAAARCTATGCCCCACAAAACCAAATCAGCAAATAGAGCATTTCTTTTTAAAGGGGCAATCTCATGTAAAATCAACTTTTTTGAGTTTTATATCAAGTTATAATGTCATACTTTCATAAAAAAAACATGCCCAAAGC